CATTAGGGGATTCTAGGTAGGGGTTCTACTTCTGAGTAGAAGTGTATTATAAAGTGTTCCTGGAAGGCTTTGTACTTGTGGTCTTTCAGCCTCCCCAGTATCTGGGCTGACAGTCGTGCCTTGCTATGTCAGGTCTGGCTGCTGTTTAAGTTCAAAGCTGGGTGTTGAGTGCCGGGATGCGGTACTGGTGTGACAGATGGCGTTTCTAGGAAAATGCCTCTTGTGAGCCCTAGAAGAACATGGACGCCAAGCCTCAGGGAGCATAGAGTCAGGAATCTCTGGGAGTGGGCGTGTCCCAGCCTTCTCTGTCCCTGCAGGGCAGGAAGTTCATTGGGGACCTGCAGCCGGATGGCAGGATCCTGTGGCAGGAAACTGGACAAGTCTTCAACTCACCCAGCGCCTGGGCGACACACTGTAAGAAGCTCGTCAACCCGGCCAAGAAGTCCGGCTGTGGCTGGGCGTCGGTCAAGTACAAGGGCCAGAAACTTGACAAGTACAAGGCTACCTGGCTCCGCCGACACCAGCTGCATATGCCAGTAGCTGCTGCTGATGAGGTGACTACAAGCCTTTACCTGTGGTGCATTGCGGGAGGAGGTGTGCAAAGGCCCTGAGGTAGGCCTTGCGTGTTGCAGAAAGGTGGCTTGAGAGGCTGAAGCAGAAAGCGCAAGGAAGGAGGGAGGCAGGGAAGGACAGACAGGGCCAGCAGGGCCTCCTCAGCTGGAGGAAGGACTTCAACTTTGACCCTAAAGGGGGTGGGAGCCATGAAGTGCTACGGGCAGAGGGAGCTGCGCCTTGGGCACATCTGCTCACCATCACCCTCTGGTGGTCACTCAAGGCAATGACATCTCGCGCTCAGGCCTGGGCTCCAGAGAGTATGATGAGGCGCTCCCCTATCTTACTGCCGCTCTACCTCCACTCCACCAGAGTCCCACCAGTGAAGGGGAGGAGGAGGAGCTGCTACTGGAGGAGGACGAAGAAGATGTGCTGGCGGGGGTCTCAGCAGAGGACAAAGGCCGCAGACCGCCTGGGAAGGTTTCTGAGCCAGGTGAGGGGCCAGAGAGGCGCGGACTGTGATGCCGGAAGCTGGCTTTGATGTTTCTTAGGCCTGGTTTCACTCTGCTTGGCTGGCCTGGAACTCACAGAGATGTCTGCTTCCTGAGAGCTGGGGTCAAGGGTATGTGTTAGAGGACACCTTTCAGGACTTGGGTCCCTTCTACCATGTGGGTTCTGGTGATCAAACCTAGGTCATCAGGCCTGGTTGTAAGACCCACTGAGCCATCTTGCTGGCCCCACTTCCTCTTATTTCTTGGGTATCCTTGCTTCTTTGCAAAGAGAACAGAAGCGGGGGGGGGGGGGGGGGGGGGGGGGGGGGGGGGGAAGGGTGTTCACACTGACTTCTCTCTCATCCCTCTCCCCAGAGGCCACAACCCTGGGCAAGCGTGTGGACAAGGTCCAGGTGCCAGTGCGTTACTGCATGCTGGGCAGTCGTGACTCTGCCAGGTCAGTTGCCCCCGCTGCCCTGGTCCTGGCTTCCCTGGTGCCTTTGGTTGGTTTGGTCACAGAGGCAAGGATCTAGCAGGGCCTCAGGAGGCGATAGGGTTGGGAAGAGCCTGAGTTCTTGAAGCCCTGGCACCCTTTCCACCACTCCAGGAACCCCCACACTCTGGTAGAAGTCACATCCTTTGCTGCCATCAACAAGTTCCAGCCATTCAACGTGGCCGTTTCCAGTAACGTGCTGTTCCTCTTGGTAAGTGACCAAAGTCACTTTGCCTGGTCATCCTCCATGTCAGGGGAGAAGGACCTCGCCGGCCTGGGTGGGGGCACGGGAGGAGTCGGGGATATGATATACAACAGGTACTCCTTCAGTACTTGCTATTAGAAAGTGATCGGAGCTTCTTTTCCCTTTGGTGCTGGGAACGGACACCAGTGCCTTTCACACGCTAGGTGCAGGCACTGCACGCTCATCAGGCAGTGACTTCCCTAGCATAGTGGTAGGTGCTCGCTAAGAGCTGAGCTGGCTCTTACACTGACACAGGAAGTGCAGTCTGTTCTCCCCCTTCTTCCCCAGGACTTCCACTGTCACCTGACTCGGAGTGAGGTCGTGGGCTACCTTGGTGGTCGCTGGGACATCAACAATCAGAGTGCGTACTCGGACGGGGCGGATGAGGGCACGCCTGGGGCAGGACTGACGGCTTCTTGTTCGGTACCCCACAGTGCTGACCGTGCTGAGAGCCTTCCCCTGCAGGAGTCGGCTGGGGGACACTGATACGGCGGCCACTGTTGAAGAGGAGGTGAGGGCTTGTTGGGAGGGGGCTAGTTGTCTGGTGGCCAAGGACAGTGGCCATGCTCTGCAAATATGGGAGTGTGGGTGCCCACGTATGAGGTGGAAATGCTGGCTTGGTGCTTTACATGACAAGGGCTTTTGCTGTGTAGCCCAGGCTGGTCTAGACTGAGGCATCCTCCTGCTGTACCTTTTGAGTACTGGGAGGATAGGTCTGTTGCTATGTTTAAATGGAATTTTTTTTTCTTGTTTTTGAGACAAGGTTCAATTCCCAGCACAGGCTGTCCTGCAATTTGCTCTGTAGAATAGGCTGGCCTCGAACTCAGAGATTAGCTTGCTTCTGCCTCCCGAGTGAGTGCTGGGATTAAAGGTGTGCAATCACCACCACCCAGCCAGCTAGATGCACTATTTAAATTAGAAAAAAACAAAAGCCGGGTGGTGGTGGCACACGCCTTTAATCTCAGCACCCGGGAGGCAGAGGCAGGAGGATCTCTGTGAGTTCGAGGCCAACCTGGTCTACAAGAGCTAGTTTCAGGACAGGCTCCAAAGCTACAGAGAGACCATGTCTGGAAAAACCAAGAAAAAAAAAGTGTGTGTATGTAGTGAGGCCAGAAGAGGGCATCTGATTCTTGGAACCAGAGTTACAGGGTTTGTGAGCAGCCTGTGCTGGGAATTGAACTGTGGTCCCCTGCAAATGCAGCCACCACTCTTACTCACTGAGCTGTCTCTCCTGGGGGGGGAGGGCACTTAACTGCCTTTGTGTGAGACTCGGGGTGGTCCCCACCCCCAACCCTAGCTTCTCTGCCTCCAGATCCACCAGGTGCTGTTCCTTCGAGGCCTGTCCCTGGTGGGTTGGTACCACAGTCACCCACACAGCCCCGCAGTGCCCTCCCTGCAGGACATCGACGCACAGATGGAGTACCAGCTGAGACTGCAAGGCTCCAGTAATGGCTTCCAGCCTTGCCTGGCCCTGCTGTGCTGTGAGGCCCCAGCTGGGCACCAGGTTGGGGGATTCACCCTGCCAGGACCACTGGGTCCCCAGCCTCAACCTGTCTTTGTCCCCACAGCCCCCTACTATTCTGGCAACCCAGGCCCTGAGTCCAAGATCTGCCCTTTCTGGGTGATGCCTCCCCCAGAGGTGGGTAAGCTGGAAGACGACAAATTGAGGGGTGTGGATGTGAGTGGGTACAGCAGGGTCGAATCTGGGCAGATGTTTGGGGGCTGGAGAATGTGCTGTGTCTTAGGCAGGGAATCCAGTTCGGGGCTGTATTGAGCAGCTATGCTTCAGTAGTATTTCAGTGGCTACTCTTACGCCCTTCTGGGTAACGCCCTGGCTTCCCACATCCCTTAACTTCAGACCCTAGACGCCCCTGGCACAGGCAAGGCCTCTCTGACTGGTCCCACTCCTCCTAGCAGCAAAGGCCCAGTGATTATGGCATCCCTATGGACGTAGAGATGGCGTATGTCCAGGACAGCTTCCTGACCAGTGATGTCCTTCAAGAGATGGTGAGCCATCTTTCTGTGGCTGTGGGCCACTTGTTTTACTTGAGATATGGCCTTCCTATGTAGCCCAAGCTTACGATCATTCTTTCAGCTTTCTCAGTGCTGAGATGACAGGTGTGCCTGCAGCACACCTGCGTGTGGCTTATTTTTTAACGACTTTGTCATCCCTGAGGGATCATGGATGTGACTTCTTGGGAGGAGCCTGCACTGTGGTGACATGGAACCTAGCCCCTCCTGGCAACTGAGGGAGCTGCATAGCCAAGAATGGACAGGCCAGATGTGTTGCCCTTGCCCTGTAGGTGCTGCTGGCGGAGTTCTACAAGGGCGCTCCTGACCTCGTGAGGTTCCAAGAGGCCTGGAGCCCAGAGCATACCTACCTGGACAAGCTCAAGGTGAGACTGTGCAACCCTGCAGCCTGGGTCCTGTCGGGAGCACAAACCACTTCCCAGAGTCTCAACAAGACTTCCCCAGAGACTAGGGGAAGGGAGGTCACAGGATCTGGGTGGCCAGGTAAACCCTCTTGCCAACTACTGACTCCTGCATGTGGCCTGAGGTCCCCCCCCTTTTGTGTGGAGTTCACCCAGGAAGGTGCTCTGCACTGTATGTCGCTCAGATTGTGAGGCTCAGTGGGGCACACACTGTCAACCAGCACCCAAAGGCATGTACATGTGTGTGTGTGTGGGGGGGGGGTGTCTTTTTCTAGGTTGGCCTGGGCTACAGAGTCAAGACCCTGCTTCCAAATCCTAACCAAAGAAATTTCTTACAGAACCAAAGTCTTGGTAGCCCAGGCCTATCGGGTGCTGTACCCATTCACCCTGGGCCTTACTAGGGGGTAGGGGATACCTGTCCAGGGCAGAGCCTGACCCCACTCCTGCTGTTGCAGATGTCCTTGGCCAGCAGGACCCCAAAGGATCAGGGCATGTGCCATGTGCTGGAGCAGGTCTGCAGCATGCTCAAGCAGGAGCGCTGAGGCCATGCAGGCCCTGCTGTCCTGGACCAGACTGGGCAATAAAGTACCCACGCACGGACCTGTGGCTGGGGTAGGACGGCAGGCGGACCCTTGGGCTGGATAATAAAGACTAAGAACCCACAGCATGAGCCTGTGGCTGGGGGGGAAGTTAGGCTCTGTGGGGTCCTTGGGCTGGGGTGGGGTGGTAGGGCTGTGTGGGCCCTTGCAAGGGAACAGGTTCACACTGAGTTAAGATGGGGCAATGGCTGTAGAAAGAGACATTTAATACTTTTTAAAAAATCAGGAGTAGAGTTCACTTCAGCCCGGGCTGGAGCGGGACATTGTTGCCCACTGGAGATGTGGAGTGTGGCCCCACATGCCAGGGTTGAGCCATAGGTTGTGGGAACACTGTAGAGAGGAATGTGACTGAGCCCAGGCTGGAGGCCTCACTTGCTGGCACCTGGCAGGGTATGATGCAGAGCTGGGGCTGCAGCAGGTCTGCTGGTCGGAGAAGGGACCTGCCAGCTGCCTGTGGTAGTCTACAGGTGCAGGGTCACATGGACAGGTACCAATGGAGCTGTCTCCAAGGAAAGTGCCAGGGACCTGGGAATGTCCTCTCTTCGGGGCCTTTGTGCTTGGCCTTTGGCAGGGCTGAGGCTGGTTCTGTGGTCCCGTGGGAGGTGTGCACATGTGTGCTGTGTGTACTTCTGCATGTATAGCTGGTGCTAAGCATTTCTGTGTGTCAAGTTGGGGTACTGGCCAGCCTCAGCTTACAGGATGGGGACTCCAAGGGCCCGCCTGCTTCTGGGAAGCCTGGAGAAGGGGCCAGGGCCCATCGCCAGCAACGGGCTGGGAGGGTTTGAAACAGGTGGGAGCTGCCACCATCAGGAAGGCAATAGGACCTCAGGGTGGGCCTTCCCAAGTCTTAGGATGGGGGGCCCAGGGCTGGGAGAGTGAGGAGGGTCCCCTGGAGGAACGTTAGTGTTTCTAGAGCACCTTGGCGTTAGACTGCTGCCACAATGTGCAAGGAGTCGGTGCAGGCATGGTCACTGAGGCAGGGGCACCAGCACCTGCACATAGCTGAGCGGGAAGAAGCCCGATTGGCCATGCAGCATTCCCTCGTACCAGTTCTCATCGATCTGGTTGGTGAGTGTGATGAGGTCGCCCTCGCGGAAGCCCAGCTCACCGTCATTCTCAGGTTCAAAGTCATATAGTGCCTTGCAGCTTGGCTGATCCAGGGGTGCTGGGATCAGGGTAGGGGTGTCAGGATAGGACAGCAGGTAGGCCAAAGCAGGTGGAGGTTGGCCCTGCTTTGATACTTTGGTGACCCCAAATAAGCAACCTGCAGCAGCTGTGGTAGTGGTGGTGGGGGAATGCAGTCCCCTCTCTCCCTCTCTCACCCCCAAAGACACTTCCACCCCGGGACACTCACGCATACTCCTGCTGGGGGTCCTGGCGGGCTTGTCTGCTGATCTGAATGACGAGGAAGCTGTTTGTGGAGGAGGGTAGGTGTGAGTGGCTGGACAGCCATCTCCAGCCTGGGGAACCTGCTGTGGGGCTTTGTTACCTGTGATCTTGGGTGCTGGGGCGGAGGGGAATCCCCCATTGGGCTGCTCTGGCTCTCCAAGGTCGAAGGGCTCCCGCAGCCGGGGCTTGAACTCCCGCCTGGGGCGTGAGGAGGCTTCCTGCACCCTGCAGGAATGGAAAGCCCAGAGTTCCCACACCCCTCTTCTTCCACCCTATTGTTTCTGCTGCCGCCTCAGGGCAAGAGCTGGCCCTAACCTAAGCCCGGCCCAAGCATGAGCATCGCGGAGACTCAACCGCCTCTGCCCTCAAAGCCACCCTGTTTAGTGAGGATACACAGGGACATCCCTGGCCACCCAGGGAATTGCCACCTGACAAAGCAGGTCAAGAATGTGAACTTGGGCAGCTGACCCAGCTAACTCCCTCGTCTTCTCATTCTCTGGCTCCCGCTACCACTGCCATCTCCCTTCTGGGACCTACTGCTCTAAGGACCCTTCACTGATACAACCCAGCATCAGGCAGGGCACAACTGAAGCCTGTGCCTGGCCTGGCAGGTTGGGTGCACAGCCCATGCTCACCAGCAGAGGGCGCACAGTAGTCACAGGAACTGCTGGGGGCTGGAGGGAAGCCACTACTCACCGACGCTTCAGCTTGTCTGCCAGCTCCTCCAGGATCTGCACTGCCTGCCGATGGTAGTCCAGCTGGGCATCCACCAGGGCTGAGAGCTGACTCACTTGCTCAATCTGTGGACAGGAAGGGGCCAGATGACATGGCCATGCACCCGCCCTGGAGGACGAGCACCCTAGCCTAGGAGGGCAGCCCCCTCATCCTTGTGGAATGGTGTCCTGGGTCCTTGGCCTGCCCAACACGCACATCAGTCTCCAGGAGGTTGTGCATGCTGGTCTCTGCCACCTCCTTGGACTCCTCAAACTTCTCCAGGGCCTGCCGCAGCTCCTCATCAGGGATCTTGCCCTGTCGTTTCTTCTTGTAGTCAAAGTCCAGGCGGCGGCCCTCCAGTTTCTTCAGGTGGTGCTGTGGGTGCAGACACGTGATGGAGCAGCACAGCTGCATGGGGCATCCTCCCCGCCTACCCATGGACCCAGGCATGGGGCGGCACCTGGATCTCCTTCAGGTCCTTGTCACACAGATTCTGTAGCGGGTCGATGAAATTCTGTTTGACTTCGATGTCCAGTGAGTCCTTCACCTCAGCCAGGCGCTTCATGGACTCGCCTGCATCCAGCAGGGCATCACCTGCAGGGAGGGGAGGAGGTCATGGAAGGAGTTCCCCACATGCCAAGGCAGGGCAGAATATTGGACTTGGCTGCCCTCCCTCCTCCCTACCCAACCCCTCAGTTGCCCCTCACCAAAATTGGACTCTCCACCCAGCTCCTTGCCGTGGCGGACCATGCATTCACCCAGCAGCCCCTCTGACTGTGGGTAGCCAGGGTTCTTCACTTGACCCCGGATCTTCGATACAGTGTTCAGCATCGTCAGCTTAGCCCGTGAGGCTGCAAGGGAAGACGGCCCAGGTGGGACACCCACAGGCTCCTCTCCCCTGGACCAGGACCACATATCCTGCGCTGGCCAGTGGGCCAAGTGACAGGAATGTCTTCTCATGCCCTCCCAGGGGTTTGGCAACTCAATGAAGAAGGGACCAATCCCACATGTCCCTTCCCTAAGGCCTCCTCAAGAAGTGTTGTGGAGACTAGAGGCCATGGTCATGGTACTGCGGTCTGCTCCATGGCCCTGGACTCCACCTCCTCCCATCTCCAACCTGTGCCCCTGGGAAGATCTGGCCCCATTGCACACCGGCCCAGCAAGTCAGCAGAAGGGACCCTTGTATGTGGTGGCAAGGAGAAGAGAGATCAGGAGGGCCATGGTCACCACTTCTGGGTGACCTACCTGGGTTGGGCTGCAGGTACTCGATGGTTCTGACCAGCACCTCTGCCACGGCCTTGCTGGTAACATCCACCTTCTGCGAAGAGAGCCAGTGTTGGAACATCGGACACTGAGGCAGAATGGTGCAGGCCCCTTTGTCCTCCAGAAGTGTGGCCTGTGCCTGGGACCCCTACCTTTTCCATCTCTTTGAAGTCATCGTCCAGCTTGGTGCCCTCAGCCCCGCCAACCTTCTCGCTGACCAGCTGTTGGGTAGAAGGAAGGAGGCATGTGAGGGCACAGGAGGGGACCGTTATCTGAATGTGGAACAGTGTCTATTGCCCCTCTGGGGCACAAGACCTCATGTTCCCCCAGCCTGTCCACCACAGCCATCCTCACTCATCATACCCAACCTCTGGGACAAGCAGGGCAGCATTGCCTGGTCACCCCACATGGGGTATGCACACCCCATATGTAGAACAGCAGACTGGCCTCCCCAGAGAAGGATGCCAGTGAGGCTTTCATGGGCCATGGCCTTGGTGCCCCCGACTCTGACCCTGATATGGGCAAGGGTTTTGCAAAGGCCATGTGGTGCCTCATACCACAGGCAGGGGCAGTAAGGAGGACTGTGTAGAATGCCCTGGGAGGAAGTGACCAAAGACATCAGGAAGTGACCTCCCAGCCCTGTGCCTGTGAGTAGCCACCCACCGTGCTCTGAAGAAGGCCTTCAGGCTCTCTGGTCTGCCCATCGAACAGGGCTGCTTCTGGGGTTCCCCAGAGCCTCTCTCAGAGAGGACAGGGCTTGGGGTAGTGAAAGACAGGAAGAGAGCAGGGGCCCCCACAGCCCCTGTAGCTATAGTTCTCCCTGAGCAGGCCCTACAGGCTACCTCCTTTGGGTATTCCCAGGGAGCCCCATTGGCTTTTACAGGCCGGTTTTGCTTCTCCAGGCTGAGCAGAGGCAGGATGTCGCCCACCACAAGGCCTGGCTCTTCTGGTAAAAGCAGAGAAGTGAGGCAGGACCACAGCTTCCAGGGGACAGCACCTGGGCCTGGGGACCCTGAGTCTCAGGTAGAGCAATGAGGCAGGAAGAGGGGAGCCTGGAGCATACCTGTGATTTGGGAATCCAGTCTCCCCAAGGCCCAAGAGCTCCACCGGGGCCCCCATCCCTGCCACCATACACGTCACAAGCAAGCTGCACCCTCACACTCTGGGCTCCTTTGTAGAAGGACCAACAGTACCCTCCACAGCTCCTGGGCATGGAGGGAAAGCGGGAGAACAGACAGGGTGCAGGTCCATTTACAAATCTGAAGGGACCATCGCAGCTGCCCACAGCACAGCAGGGGTTGCATGGTGGCAATGCAAACATCTAGGTTCTCAGCAGAGAGTGCCAGCTCTGTGGGAGGCCACATTCCTGCTAAGAGTTGCCTTGCTGCAGGCATCATGGGGGGCAAACTGGGTAGTGGTCAGCTAAGCCCAACACCACCAGGAACCTTAGCTCAAGGCAACATGCCCCAAGACTGCCCAATCCTCTGGCCAGCCTGTTTCCACAGATTTGTCCCCTCTTAGAGGACAGGAGCTGGTGGGTCGGCCACACCTGCTGGGTCTGCCTGGCACAGCCTCTGTTCACAATGTCACCTGTAAACCAGGCATCTGGGGTGGGGGTACGCAAAACAGAGATGGGTCTCCCAACGGGATCAGAGACTGAGGTGCCGCCAATGGGTTAGAGATATGCCCCGAGCATGAGACCCCCAGATCTGCTCCAGCGTGGCCAGACTAAATATGGCAGGGGGAATGCTGTGGCTGCCCAGTGCAGAGGAGCCATGAGGGAGGGGACAGAGAAGCTAGGCAGAGTGAGGATTCTGCAAGAAACATGGGAGCTGACACCCTGCCCTGCCTGGCCACCACCCTTGGACGGTCATGGACCTTTATCATAGTAAGGAAAGGTGATTAGTGGCCATGGGAGATTCAGTCTGAGCAACAAAGATAGTGACGCTAAAGGGGGTGGGGTGGGCAAAGGGTGGCTCCACGCTGCATTTCGTCACAGTGACCCAGTGGGTCAAACTGGGGCCTAATGTCCAATACCACAGTGCATGAGAAATGTCTATGGATGGCCATGCTGTCTGGTGGACCCAAGCCTCATGCACAGCAGCTCACTGCCTGTTCCTGAAGGGACCTGGCCCACAAGCGAGAGTATGGGGCAGGCTGACATAGGTGAGGGCCGTCCTGTAGGGCACGAGGACACTGAAGGACCCAACGGTGTAGGCAGAGGCTCACCCGCTTCAGTTTAGCAGTGGCAGCATCACGGCAGGCACGGCATTCACAGGATACTGCGACCATCCGCAGGACACTGGGAGCCCGTGTTGGCCCCGAGAGCACAGGCGCGGGGGGCGGGGTGTGGCGACATGGACAGGACATAGGGTAGAGAGGCTATGAGGGCAGGGAGGTGCATGGGTACCATGCCAGGCCCCTAGTGGTCACCAGTTTATAGAGAGCCTTCTGTCCTGCTATACGCAGCCTCTGTGTCCCCACATGGGGACCTCAGGGCAGGAGTAGCCTGAGCCTAGGGAGTCACAGCCACCCCTCTTTCTCAGTTTCCACCCCATACCTTCCTGCTGAGCGGAGCCATGGAGCCCCACACACCCAAGCCTGACCTACCCCATGCCTATGCCTGGCTCTAGGTGGGGAGCAATCAAGGATAGAGCAGGCCCACTTGAACTCTCCAGAAAGGGGGTATTGTTGACAGAGACCCAACTCAAGTGTCCTCCCCAGTCAGGTGCCTCCAGTTCCCCAGAGGCACAGAGTGAAGGCCAGAATGCAGACTTTTGGGTAAGGTTCATCTATAAGCTGCTCGAGTCCCCTGCCTACATGCTAACATGGGAAGGGACAGGCTGGAGAGATGACTCAGTGGTTAAGAGCACTGACTGCTCTTCCAAAGGACCTGGATTTAATTTCCAGCACATACATGGAAGCTCATAATTGTCTGTAACTCCAAGATCTGACACCGCACACAGACATACATGAAGGCAAAACACCAGTCTACATAAAATAAAAAATTACAAAAGAAAAATATTTTAAAAAATAAAATAAAATGGGAGGGGACATGCAGGAAGGTGACTGCCCCATGGAGGCTCCTGGTCCCTGGAGCTAATAGCACACCCCAGGGTCAGACACAGGTCTCCATTGCTCAAAACAGCAATACCAGGATGTGGAGAGAGCAGGGTGTCAACAGGAGCCACTGCTGTGTCCAGGAAGGCATCATAGACCCTTATCACACATCACAGGCTCTCATAAATATTTGGAATTTGCTGGTTGTGCAAGCCACTGCCTCCTTTTGTGACAGCAGGCATGAAGGAACTTCCTCTGGCCTACCAGGAAGTCCCACACCTTGTGCCGCCGGGGTGTGGTGATTCCACAGACTGCCTCAGTTAGCATGAGTGGAAGTGGGGCCTGCAATCACTCAGATCTCCTGGTGGGAACCCTAAACAGGTATCCCAATGACCTGAGCAGGCTCCCAGGGGCATACAGGGAGGAGGCAGCCCTTTGTGGTGGGCTAAGGCTCATGTGGGAACTGAGCTTTGGAAGCCATAGACTGTGGGCTCTCAGGTAGAGATCACCAGGACAAGGGCTGCATCAGAATGCTCCAGGCATCCCATGATGCTGCAGACTCTGGGACAAGCCACCTGTGGGAGTCTGGCAGCTGGGGTCAGGTCAGGCCTGACTTTGCCAAGGGCCTCTTTCCTGACATGGCCAAAAGACACCTGAGGCCCTGCTCTGGGCCCTAGACAGTCCCCACTGCCTTCCTAAGACAGTCTGGGGTCTCAGTGTTGGCTGGGACAGTAGGAATCTGCACAAGGCCCCACACAGCCTGGTCCACTGTCTGTCACTTCCTGTTTGTCTCCCAAGTCTTTCCAGAGTACATTCATGGGAAAGAGCTCAGCACACGGTAGTCACCATCTTAGTGGCCTGGCAGGTGTCCCTCACTGCCCCAGGCCTAGCATACAAGGACACCGACAGGCTCTGCTCTTCATGGGCAGAGTGGATGATGACTGCACCCCATAGCCCCTTCCCTTGCTGCCCCGAGAGTTGAGGGCAAGGACCCAAGATCAGCAGAGGTAGCTGACACCACGGAGCCTTAGGCCAGAGGAGGAGGTGGTGGGTGGGCAGGCTCACCCCAGGCAGTAAATGGTCAAAAGGTAGAAAGTAGGGGTGGTCTCAGGAATCCTGCACCCCTTACTCTTCTGAGCTGGGCGGAGCTCCTAACCCTCTGTCCCATAGCAGGAATGGTACTGGCTGGCCCTGTGTGCACTTGGCCTTGGCAGAGGCTGAGAGGAAGTGATGCCTGATGTAACTGCCCTGGGACCCACTACCACTACTTGGCCTGGTCGATTTAGCTTTTCATCTGTCCGGTGAGGCAGGAGGGCTGGGAAAATCAACTTCAGACGAAAACTAAGAAAAAGAAAGAAAAGCCAAACCACAAACAAATGAGGCAGCAGTCACCTGAGGCTGAGGTTGAGCTGCTGCTGCTGATCTGAGGGACGGTCAGCCTGGCTCCACACAAGCTGGGGATGAGGGAGGGGTTCATGGATGCAGGGCTTAACAACAAGGCCCACCTGCCACCTGGAAGGCAGTGCCCGAGGCCACTGCATAGCCCTGGGAGCATAGGCTAGCTCTCAGGTGTGAGTCCCAATAGAAGTCTTAAGTTCCCTCATGTAGGAAAAATGGGGGAGACAGATCTAAGGACCCCGAACCCCTACCCCACCCACCCCTCCAGCTCTGAGGAGTCACAGCCTCAGGCTCCAGGCTGCTTATCACTGGCTTCCCTCAGCTGGAGGGGCTCTGCCCCCTCCCCTATTATTTTCTGTCTGAACAGCCTTCTGTGGGCCATGCCAGGGTTTCTGCAGCTCTTGAAGTCCCAGCCCTGGCTGTCTTGTCTGCTAGAATCCACCCTGCATGTGTTCAGCCCTCTCTTGCTGCACACTGGTGGCCTTGGAAGTAACAGGAGTAAGGGCTGCTGTCCAGTTCCCACAGCAACCTCCCGCACCATGGCAGAAGGTTCTAGAAAGTCTGAGAAAACCAGGAGACTCTTGCTCTGCACCCTAGGGACCTGGATGGTGGGGGTGAGGTGTGGCTGTGTCACAGGACACAAAGGAAGAAATGACAGGTTTCTTTGAAAAAACAAGAGGGATGGCTCAAGCCTTGCTCAGCCTCCCGAGACTACAATTTGCACCAATCACAGCAGACCTGGGTAACAAGGGGCAGACACATGGGCAGGTCGAGAGCCTAGGCTCTGCAGTCCACAGTGACTTGCGGCGAGCTGGGCGGGTGAGGCGGGGACTGGCACCCCCACTGCTGGGGGTCTGCTGACCTGGCTGCAGATGCTGAGTTAGATGCCAGACCAGCAGACCATGGGCACTGCATATTTGTTGAGATTATATTTACTGAGATAATAAACCCTCAGTGTGGCAAGGCTAAGTCACCATAGGTGTGCCCACAAGGTCTGGTGACACACGATAGGGAGAAGACTCTGCTTGGGAGCCTGTCCCTCAGAGCTGGGATGAAAGTCCTGAGCCGGTAAGGACAGCACTCTCCTGGTATCGCAGAGGCCCTGGGGTTCCATCTTCAGTACCCCAAACAAAGACGAAATCCCAGACCCAGTCCTCCTGCTTCAGCTCCCTCAGCTGTAACGTGGGTGGAGCAGCACCTGAGCAGCCACTGCCCCACGGGGGGAGGGAGGGGAGGTGGCAGAGAGACCCTTCTCTAAGCAGGGGCATGATGGGAGCTAGGAGGACCAGGAGTTCAAGGTCATCTTCCCCTACACAGTGAGTTTGAGGCCAGCCTGGTCTACAGAGCGAGTACCAGGACAGCCAGGGGCACACAGAAATCCTATCTTAAAAAAAAAAATAACAAACAAGACAGAACTTGGGACACAGCTCAGTGGCAGAGCAACTGCCTGGCCTGGCCAAGGTTGTGTCTGACCACCAACAGCAAGCGAAAGAGAACTCAAGCATGGGCACGGTGATGCTCTACAGGCACCCAGCCCTTAGCCACACTAGACAAAACAATGAAGAGGGGTAAGCCCCCCCCCCCCCGCCTCAGCTGCACCCAGCCCTGGGTACCAGTGACACCTACCCAAGCTCCTCAGGGTAGGGAGGGGACTGTGCCCTATCAATTGCATCATTGATGGCTGCATGACAACAGGGATAGAGTGAGGGAGGCTGGGAACCCCACATGTCCCCACAGCGGCCAACTCATCCCTGCGTGGCTCACCGCCCCTTAACCCCTGTGCAGTCAGCCTGGTGACCACACCCTTCTAAAGACCCTACCTTTCCCTGCTCTGTCTGGGTAGTTATGTCCCCACCTCAGGTGAGGACATGGCCACCCTCAGGACCCTGAGCAGACTCTGGGCCACAGCTGATGGCCCTTGAGCCTACTCCAGCAGTCACTGGACTCTTCATTTTGAGTTTATGGAGAAAACGCCCACACCCCGAGTCTCCCGACCGCTTCCCTACTGTGTCACACTGCCCAGCCTCAGCCCAGGATGACAGCAGTACCAAGCCTTCCTGCCCTCGGTCCAGCTGCAGGAAGGGACCAGCTGTGCGTGGGGACAAGTACACAGCATGGTAACGCTTGGGTGGCATCTGTGCTTGGTGCCCTCTTCTTCCCACATCTGAATTCTAGTAGGCCATGTGTTCCGTGAGTCACTCAGCCTTCCTACCGGGGCCGCCCATCACTGGCCCTATCAGTCAGACAGCACTGCACACATTGGGGATGCTCGCATGCTGACCCCTAGGTCTGCCCTGTCTAGGTGCTTCTGCTCACATAACTATTTTTTTTTTAAGGTTTTTTGAGACATTTCTCTGTGTAGCCCTGGCTGTCCTGTAACTTGCTCTGTAGACCAGGTTGGACTCAATTTCACAGAGATCTACCTGCCTCTGCCTCTTGCCTCCAAGGGCTAGGATCAAAGGCGTGTGCTACCACCATCTGGCCAACAACTATTATTTTTCTCTGTGAGGTTCAGGAGGGAGAAGCACGCCCCTTCAGCAGGCCATGGGCAGCACTATGTCCGGCTGAGGGCAAGGAGTGGGCAGGTGTGTGGAGGCAGGCAGAGAAGAGGGACACCAAGGGGAGGAGCCCAGTCAGTCCCATTCTGTACAGGGCACCAGGCTCAGAAGTGCTCACCCTTCCACAGCCCCTGTCGCTGCAGGCAAGTGCTGTTGAGGGTTATGGGGTACGGGACACTCTCTGGACTAACCTGGCAAGCTGGGTTTTCTAGACAAACCTGAACACCACCAGCTCCCCAAAGAACCAGGCAGTGGTGCCTGTGACCAATGGCTTCTTTTCAAGTGG